CAGGAAACAGCAGCATCAGGACTGGGGTTTAAAAATCCTTCAGGAACCAAAGGGTTTTTGCTGTGTTTGGAGTTTTAGGAACTAAGGAGGGAAAACACGAAGTGAGGACAGGATACAATTTAAAGGGAAACAAGCGAAGACATCCCTGGGACGAAGGCCAACAGGAACGGGCTGAGGGGCGATGCCCTCTGTGGGGCTTGACTTGGGATGCCATGGGCTGTCCGGTTCAGAGGCCCCCGGGGCATTCAGCCCTCCACTGCAGAGGCAACGCTTCTGAGACAGAAACAGGCAACAGGAAGACGTTGCTGAGTTGGCGGCCGGGGGAGGCATGGAAGAAGGAAGGGGGATGTGGGCTTTGCACCTGCTTCTTAGGCTGGAGCAGCCTGGATCACATCCCTACCCCCGGCTGTCACACCCTTATTCTTAGGTCTTAAGCTGACTGTCACTTCTCTGGGAAGTGTCCCCAACTCCCCAGAGTGAGCTGGCCAGCCCTCCTCTGTGCTCCCAAAGCATCCTGTTCCCTCAGGGTCTAGTTCTACCCTAGGAAAAAAGAGCACACTGAATCTGAGAACGAATGAATGAGGACTCAGCATTTGAGCTTCAGGATGTCAACAAGCCAGATAGAAGTACCTGGATCTGCAGACAGCTGGCTGCACCTGGGGGCTGCAAGGTCGATGCTGAACCCTCCCTAGTTGCTCGAGGCTACCTTGGGCATTGCTACAGTACCATTCCCAGATTCCAGCAGCTCAAGTCCCTGGGACCCGCCCAGACTCGGGGACCTCCAGGCCTTAGAAGCAAGAACCTGAGCTGCTAAACCGCCTCCTCTAACTCCAGGCCCTGGACACCTTGGCTTGCCCCATCTCTGCGGGCTGCAATTTCTACAGGCCCCAAACAACTTACAGCGGAAGGTTCTGGGGCCTCTTCCTTGAGTCACTGGGCCCAGGAATACCTAGTGTTACGCCTTAGAAACATCCAGAATGTTCCCATATCTTCTCCTGAATCTCTGGGGAGTGGACTGTTCCTGGACACTGGGAAACAGAAGTACCTTGGTCACACCAACTCTCTGCTTCTCAGTGCCTCAGTTTACCCATATGTAAAATGTGGGCTGTATCTGCCCCTTCTTACATTACAGAAATTCGAAGAGTGTTAATATTAAACTACGGTCTGATCTTTGGAAGAAAGGGGCTCTATTTTCACAATTTCATCCTCTAGCTCCCCACCCCCCATCTCCCTGGAACCTTATAGAATGTGCCGCATGGGCCAAACTAGAGAGAGGAACCCAGGGACTATGGGGGTCTCAGGCCCAGGAACGTTCAAACATAGGCCACAATGTCGTCCAAGCAGCTCCTTGTGCAGGTCAAAGGGAATTGGGGTCAAAGCTGCTAGTCGTTGAGGTGGTTCCTTGGGCCAGCAAACCCAGAAGTGCCCGGCGCTGGCCTGGAGGGTGGCTGGGGGAGGGGCCCTTCAGAAATGAGGGGTGGCCTGTAGAGCAGGCCTCCAGACGGGGGCCGCCCTGGGCACCAGGCCGAGCTGCTCGAGCTGCAGCCTCGTGGGCCGGTAGGCGTTGAGGTTGCTGTACAGAGCGAGTGGCCCCTTGTGGGGCCTCGGAAGGAAGTGGGCCTGTGGGGTCAGGGCCCCCCAGAGGCCATGGTAGGGCTGTAACCTGGGGGGTGGGGGCGGATTTGGGGCCGGGGGACTGCTGGGCCCTGAGGACATGGATAGACTCCGGTTCCGGGGGTGGCTTCCCGTTGACGGGCTGCTGAAGGGGTTCGAAGACGTGTGGTCACTGCTGGAGTAGCTGCTGCCGCTGAGGCGGCCAGGCGGGGGGCTGCGGCCCGCTCCGGGCTGTGGGGGTGCGGCCAGCCTGGGGGACTTCAGGCCCATCACGGGCTTGGAGGAGGCGTAGAGGTGGCGGAACTCCTCGTCAAACAGCTCCACTGCCTGGCCTGTGAACTTGGAGAGGATGTTCCGGTGGACGTGTCCGCAAAGCCAGGTGAAGCTGGGGGGAGGAGGAGAGAGAGTGAGGGGCGGGAATGGGGGCTCCGGCCCTAGGCCTCTCTACCACCTTCCTGAGGGGGCGGCGGGGGCTAAGGAGGGACTGGGAAGAAGGAGATTCACACGCCTGCCCCGCTCTGGGACGGCTCATTCCATTCTGGCAGAAGCCCTGGAGGGAGGGAGACAGCGGTGACCCGTGTCACAGGTGGCAGAAGTGATGCTCAGGACCAGCAAATATCTACAGGTTCGTGATTAAGTTGCCAGAGTGCATCCTGGCTTGGGGTCAGGGCTCATCCTGTGCTCAGATTACAGCCCATTAGAGTGAGGGCCCTGTGGACGCACAGAGGGCTGAGGGCCAGGTGAGTCCCAGCGTCCCGCGGACTCTGCCCACATCAGTCACCTAGACGCTGGGGCCTCAGCGGCTCCACCTGTGAAATGTGGGACGCCTGCCTCTTCTAAGCAAATAGGTGCCTGGGGAAGGCAGCTGCAAAAAGGGGGCCGTTCCTTGGAAGGCGGGGGCTGTATTTGCACGAATATCCAGAGGGTTGGCTCCGTGTTCAGGCACGTGGACCTGGAAGTGGAGGAAGGGAGGGGGAATCCCGTGCTCTTTGGGAAATGTGGACAAGAGACCACAGGACGAGCCCACAGGAACCGGGCGTAGGTGCGGTTTGCCCAGATACCCCTGAGGACACCCAAGCAAAGGTCTCGTCCCTCCCTCCGTTTACAGGTTTTAAGTGAAAACAAAATGTTCAAGGTGTTTATATATTACTTTTTATGATTCCTTGATTTAACCAAATTCCTTTGTATTTCTGATGGAAAACTCCTCACCCCGCCCCCGCCACCCTGCCGCTTCCCCTTGAAAATTCCTGGTGACAGCACAGAAGACCCACCAAGAGCATCAGGTTAGTATCCCTAATAATGTGAATCCAGGTGTGGGGAGCAATGGGGACGGGATGATTAGAGTTGGGCAGGTCACCAGCGCTGAGCAGAAACAGCCCCCACCAAGGATCTCAACCGGGATCCTCCAGCCGGCCTGCCTGGCCACCAAAAAGGCAGAGCCCAGCCTGCAGGGTCCCTGTGAGGCAGGGCGGGGGTCACACAGGATGGGGCAATCCCGGGAAGAACAATGAGGCTCTGTTTAAACTTCACCTCCTGCCCAGGAACCACCCACACAGCCCCAGATTGAGGAGCAGATACTGAGCCTGAAGCCAGCCAGGTGACGGGGAAGCAGCAAACACAGGGACAGTGGGACTCTTGGCGACACTAAGAAATCAGGAGCCCTGTGTTATTCGGGATCAGGCTAGACTGAGCCAACAACTGCATGCTTTGCCCAACAAAACAGGTGCCGGGGCCACTTTTCAGGCCCCCACGCCTGAGGCCCCCGTGCACCCCCACGTGTAGGTGAGTCCCTGCAGTATCTGTGTGCCCCGTGCACCGCGCAGGGGTCCCCCCCACTTACACCCCACAGGTCCGCGCGTCCTGTGTTCCGGCTTGTACACGTCCTTGCATCACCACCCATTGTAAGAAATCCATTTTATTTTTCTTGTTTTTGCCCCTTAAGTGCATGAATTGACTTAACCTTTGGCTCAAGACCCACTGTCATCATATTGGTCTATTCATGGCCCATCGTAATGTATGGAGCTATTTACTTCATTATTTTAAATAATGAAATAAGCACCTGTGAACCCACCCCTTAAAATTAAAGGCTAGCATCTTGACAGTAGCTGACATCTAACCATACGGTCCCTCCGGCAACCTATTCTCCTTGCTCCACAGACTAGAGGAATCGTCGCCCGGAACCCTGTGCCATAGTTCCCGTACCTGCCTTTTCTATAATTAAAAAATGTTTTGTGTATTCTGGAAAGTAAATATTTTTACTTTAGTTGTTTTTAACATGACGGTCTCTTGAAAATTTTTCACTTAATATTCTATTGCTAAGATTCATCCATGTTATCTCTAGTTGCTGTACTTCGTTCATTTTTGACTGCTGTATAATATTCCACTGGTGGCTAGATTATGGTGGATTCATCTACTCTCCCATTGATAAGCATTTGGGTTGCTTCCACAGCTTTTCTGTTGTGACCAGTGCTGCTACAAATATTCTTATATTTGTCTTCTACCGTACTGCGGACCAGTGTTTCTTGGAAATACACCAAGGAGTGGAATTACTGGGTTATAAACTAGGTGAGCCTTCAGCTTTAGGAGAGAATGCCGCTCTTTCCAAAGTCGCCGTGCTTATTTGAAATCCCATCGGCAAGGTATAAAAGATCCTATAAATCTAAGTTGGTATTGTTGGCCTTAATTTTTTTCTGCTCGTTAAGAAGGTATAAAATGATAACTCATCCTAGCTTCGGTTTGCATTTTCATTTCTGATGCCGAACATCTCTTCGTGTGTTTTCAATGTATCTCCTCAGTGACGCGTGTGCTCATGTCCCTTGCCCATGCTTCTGTTGCGCTGTTGTGAGTCACAGGAGTTCTCTGTGATGCTTGACACTAATCTGTCAGGGCATCATGAAAACCTGCTCCCAGTTTATAACCTGACCTTGTACTTTCTTTAAGATGCCTTTTGATGAACCAAGGTTCTTCACTACAGTATAAGCAGATTTAGCCGTCTGTGATAGTCGGTGCATTTTTGTGTTCTGTTTAACACAGAGGGGTGTCTGTGTTAAGACACCTAATCTCCATATTACAGAGGTGGGAAGTACGCTAAAAAGAATCGAACTGTACACATTAAATGGGTGAGTCATCTGGCATGTGAATTATATCTCAGTATAATTCACACACAAACACATATACATCCCAAAACCAACTGCATGATTTTGTAATCACGCCTGAGGGAGCTGAGGAGGGGAAAAGGGGTTCTATGTCCTATTGCAACACCAAGGAAAACCGAGGCGCCTGGATGGGTACCTCTATCCTGAAGTCCTCCCAGGAAGGGCTCGACTGTCCCCCTTTCGCCCCTGGCGGGTCCTGCCTCCAGCCTCATGTGTGAGGTGAAGCCCCAGCTCTGGGCAGGGGAGGAGTGTCCTGGGAGCTGCCAAGGGGGCGGGGGTGGGGGAAAGGGGAGGCAGGTGCACCTGAGCTGCTCAGCCTTGGCTTCCATGAAGCCTCAACAGGTGAAACCCAGTGCTCACCTGTATGATCCAGACAGGACGTATCTCCAGTCCGAGATGATGAACTTCTCCTGGATTTGGCCGGCAAACTTCCTGCCTGATTTGGCACAGTACACCTCCGCTTCCACACTCCGGATGGAAATGTTCTGTTGGAAGGAAAGTCAGGCGTCCCTCGCTCATCATGTATTTGTAGATACACGTTTGCCCAGGACAAAGTCCGGAAAGATGCACACGAAGACATAACCAGGGCTTAGCTCTGCTTGGTGGGATTGTGGGCCATTTCTATTTCTTTCCTGGCTGAGTTTTCTAAACTTTCTTCATTGTCTGACATTATTTGAGTAACGGTTAAAAAAAAATAAAGGGAGTGAGAGATGGTAGAATTTATAAAAGCAGAAAATAGAAGAAAGACAAGGGCCTGATGGCCGTGGAGACCTCAGTCGAGGCTCCCAGGACCATGGAGGTCTGGCGGGCCCAGCCTCATAAGTGGCTTTAGTGACAAAGTCCCTGACTTCAAGCTGGTCAGAGGGAAGGCTCGGTGCAGCCAGAGAGGGAGCTTTACGGTGACCTCAGTGAACCCTTAATAGTCCCGTCTAAAAAAATGGTGTCCACAACCGAAATCATGGCCCTGTTTATCCCTTTCCTTCCCGGCAGCACCCGCTGCCCCAGCCCTCAGGCTGGGACCCTGGGAAGGGCAGGTGACACACGGGAAGCTCAGCCGAAGGCGGAATCCTGCCGGACCCCCGAGGATGCCCGCCTGTGGCTGAGCAGAGGAGGACCCCTAATGTCTAAATGTCTCCAACATCTCTCCGCCTCTCCGTAAGCTCTGAGATGGCAGGAGGAAGGCAACGTCCTGCTGTCCCTTGGTGCCAAGAGGACCGTCAGGTATGGCCGGTGCGGGCCACGAAGGCGAGAAGCGCTGACTCTCTGGACCTGCATGCTGAGGTCTGACCCAGGCAACGTCAGGCGGACCCAGTGATCAGAGGAGTCAAGGCCTGTGGCACCAGGAGGTGCCTGAGCTCAGCTACATCTGGTCAGTGTGGAGGGGCAGGGAGGGAGGAAGGGAGGAGGGCAGGGTCTCCTGGAAGCTGACCCGCCTGAGCTAGAGGACAGTCCCCAAGGGAACCCTGAGGACCACCCACCAGCTGTTCAGCCCGGCCTGCTCATGAAAGCTATGGGTGCTTTGACATTTGACCTTGAATTAGCTGCCCCAAATCTGACTTGACTAAATGAACCTTTATCTCTGGGTTTCTTTTCTCCTTGTCAGGAGAAGAAGGTGGGGTGTTGGGTTAAATCTAAGAGGATCAGCCATGGAGTCCTAACCCACATCTAACAGCTCCTGAATGCTGCCCTGCCTGGCGAAGTTTCCTCAGCTGAGAGGAGAAGAGGCGGTTGTGGCGGAGAATGCTGCTCTCCAGCTGTCCCCGGGCCCTCATCCTTGCCAGTCCCCGTGCACCCAGGTGCCTCAAAAGGCTATGAGCGGAAGTGATGAAAATCTCTTCTGGGTCGGGTCCTAAAAACATCCTGCGAAATCCTTCTGCCCGCTCTCTCCCTGTCACTGCTGTCTTGGCATAGCTATGAGATGGGGGATGGCTGTCTGACCTGCACTGGACTTCGAGCAAGAGCCGAACCTTTACTATGTTAAGCCGTTGGGATGGGAGACATCAGTTACCATGGCATAGCCTGTCTTATTCTAATACGAAGTACCTCTGGACTCTCACTGGGGGACCCTACCTTGAGGTGACTGTCAGAGATCTGGACCTTGTCACACATCTCCTGGAAGAGCTTCACGCCTCCTTGGTCCAGGAGCACACAGACGAACACGCCACGCTTGTTGGCTGCCTCTAGGATGTCACAGAAGATCTCCACGTCTGTGAACACATCCATCAGGATGGCCAGGACCTGGGCCAGAGCAGAGGGGACAAATACCAGAAGAGTCAGGGGCAGGCGCTAACTGGTTTCGGCCAAACTTCTAAGTCCCAGTGGGCCTGGGAGAGCTGGTCCCATTGGTGCTGTGCTAGGGGGGAAGGGTGGGGTGGGGGCGGGTCTGACAGGGAAGGGAAAGGGAGAGCTGGAGTGGAGACCCCACCTCTCCAGCCCCACCACAAATCCTCTGGCCTCACCACCCGCTGTTGGAGTATGAAGTGCAGAGGGGGAAGGAGAGAAAAGTAAAAAGAGGAGGGGAAGAGAGGGGAGGGGAGGGGCGGGGGCGGCTGGGCAGGTGCAGGGGAGAGGAACAGATTTAATGTCATGGATTCCCAGCCATCTGGAGCTCGAAGGTAGTCTGTGGTCACTTGTTTTCAAATGCTTTTAAGCCAAGGAGTCCTTGCCTCAAACCAAATCCCTGTAGAGACCCCACATATAAACTAGACTGGACTGAGACGAGCCAGTGGGGTGAAGGAGGGAGCCCTTTCGGCCCGCAGTCACCGCATCCTCTGTCTTAACAGAACATGATATCCGGCGAGTGGAGAGCCCTTCGTGTCCAGCGAAGGGGAGAGCCAGATGTCCTCCTGCCTGCCAAGCGTGCATTCTTCTTCCACCAGCAGCACCCCAATCTCCCATTAAGGAATCACCTCTTTTCCACAATCAGTGTGGTTTGGTTGGGGCTACTGCCATGCCCTGGATTGTTTGGGGGCGGGGCGGGGCGCATCACCAAAGCCCGACCAATGAGAACACTGCATCCCCCACTGGCCACAGGGATTGGCCCAGGGCTGGTCACATGATCTAAAGTATTCTAGTGAGAGTCAGCTCAGGACCTCTGTGGGGACTTTTGCAGAAAGGAGGCATTTTTTCTACTGGGGTTGCTTAGCTTAGTAGATTGTAAACTACAGCTTCTGGTAGCCATCTTGCCACCACCACATGGGGACAGGCTGCCTGAAAATGAAGCCAGCCCCGGAGAAAGCAGCAGGGCCAAGAGGTGGAGACAGATTGCCAGCATCTCTCGAGCATCTCATATTAGCCATGCCTGCAGCCAATCCTACCCTTGGCTTTTCCTCTGTGGATGTCAATGCATGTTCTTCTTAAGCTTCTTTGGGGTTACTTTCTGTGAGGTTGTAATTCATAATTAATAAGAAATGTATATTTGATCTTTTTCCTGTTTCTGGCACAAACTCTGAAAACCCTTGGAATTTCTGAAGTGATGAGGGGGGAAAAAAAAAAAGGTGTCTTTTGTTATGTTAATGAGGTGACCAAGGGTGGGCATTGGTTGCCAGGAGAACCAACCTTGTGATTAGAGGGTTAGAACTTTCAGTCCCCTGGCCCCTGGGGAAGGGAGAGGGGCTGGAGCTTGGATCAATCACCAATGGCCAATGATGGGATCAAATACGCCTATGTCACGGAGCCTCCATAAAATCCCAGAAGGATGGGTTTGAGAGCCTCCAGGTTAGGGGAGAATGGTGCACTCAGAGAGGCCGTGGGCGCTCGGAGCCCTTTCCCGTTTACCTGCCCTCTGCGTCTCTTGCATCTGGCTCTTCCTGAGTTACAGTCTTTGATAACAAACCGATAACCTAGTAAGGAGAATATTTCCCTGCGTGTTGTGAGCCGCTCTAACGAATTAACCGGACCTAACGAGGGGGTCGTTGGAATCTCCAGCCTGTGGCTGATGGGTCAGAAACCCAGGTGACAGCTTTCCATTGCTGCCAATGACTTGGGAGACACCCAGCTGGTGTTCGGGAATTGCTCGGCGGTGTGGGAAAGCTCCCACACAGTGGAACGGGAGCAGAATCTGACTTTTTTGTCACCCAATGAAGAGTCCTTCTTCCTAACACTTAAATTGTGGTTTATTGACAGGTGAATTATTACGATCATTATAATGGTGACGTAGAAACTGGTTACCTAAGACCCGGTGAAATGTTCTCGTACAACTTGCTGTATAATACGTGCTCAACACATATGTATTAAAAATCAACAAACCGACTGAAAAAAGAAAGCAGCACCAATGGTAGCATGTCCGCTGTAACTGCCAGTGAGGGAAAGTGGGGTGCAGATGGATCAGCATAAACCCAAACCAGCAGTGCTGTTTGGAAGGGGCTGTGGCGATTCTTTCTTCAACAGTGCAGCAATAATAGCTCCACCATTCACAGAGACAGGGAAGGAGGTGGCTGGTGCCGGCCTGGAGCTCGCCTTCTGCTCGCTTGGTGTGGGTGTCCGGACCGGGGAGGGAACTGCCGAGAAACTGCTCACTCCGAGCTCGAGTCAGAAAAGGCGTCCTAATCGTGAGACCCGTGACCCTTCAGAGCCATGCCTGTCATCACGTGACCGGGGATTTGTACACATTCAAGCTTCTGGCACCAGTAACACCCAGGCCCTCTCTGCTGGAAGATGAATGCCTCCTCATCCAAGGCGTGGACGAAAGAGACACCCAGACCTTTTGTTTTCTCTCAACGGAAGGTCAGTAAACCCTCCCAGTTGCTTCCCATGAGTCCCAGTTCCCCTGAGACAAGGCTGGTGACCAACGGACAGAGAAGGCAGCAGGTTTACCAATAACCCTGTGTCCTGATTTAAGGGACGCTTGCAAATACAGGCTCCTTACGCCTAGCTCTATTTCATTCACCTCCTGTTGGAATTGTCTCTCAGCTGGATTAAGTCAAAGCCAGTACCTGCTCCAGGCCCCCGTGTGGCTGTGCTACCTTACAGGGTGTAGAGGGTGGATAAGGATGTTCTAAAAGCTGTATCCTCATCCCAGCTACCAGAGGCCACGGATATGAACTCACTTGGAAAAAGGATCTTCGCAGATACACTTAAGACTCTCAAGATGAGATCATCCTAGATTATCTCTTAGTCCTTCAATCCAGTGACAAGTGCTGTTATGAAAGATACCCAATGGACAGACAGGGAGAAGAGGAGGCCACTGAAGACGGAGGCAGAGACTGGAGTTATGGAGCCACGAGCTGAGAAATGCCTGGAGTCACCGGAAGTTGGGAGAGGAAGGACCTTTCTCTAGAAACTTCAGAAGGGAGTGCGGCCCAGCTGACACTGTAATTTTGGACTTCTGGCCTGCAGAACTGTGAGAGGATAAATTTCTGTAGCTTTAAACCCCCAAATGTGTGCTAATTTGTTACAGCGGCCCCTTGAAACTAATACAGAGGGCAGCACATAATCCAGAGAAAAAATGGTCTACGAGGAAGGAGGTAGGGGAGTTTGGCTCCAGCCTTGGTGCTACTGGAGACTCGCTAAGTACCTTTGGACAAGTCACGTGCCCTCTCTGAGCCTCAGTTTCTTTACCTGTAAAGCGCTGCACTATAATAGAACATTAGCTATCACCCAAGGTGAGTCTAACTGTAAGCCCAGATCATAGAAATGGAAGCACGTGCGAAAGTAAAGGCTGTTATTCTAGCGTATGGTTAAAACGTGATCACGATTTCCATATGCATTATTTATGAGCAAGTGTGGATGATGTTAGAATAATGCCATGCAAGAATGTTGTTTTAATCCAGGTTACGGAAGAGGATTCGAATTCGTGCCCATGTCTCTACGGACGTGAAAAAGAAAGAGTAGGGCTCTCGTTAAGCCAGTCAGATGGACAGCTCAGAGGGCGGGGCTGGCTGAGAAGGAAAAGAAGCATTTTCTGTGACACTTTGCCAAAAAAGGAAGTTGGCCTGGAAGCGGAGCCTGACAGGCTGGTTCTGGGAATCCGGAGATTCGGTGAGATGCAGGGGCCCATCTGGGGTGGGGGGCGGAAGCTGGTCAGCTGGGGCTATTCTGTGGGGACCTCAAATCCTGGCTGAGAAGCCCTCGCAACCTGCCAGGCAGATGACAGTCCTTCAAGGACGGGAAACCCTCCTGCCTGAGGAAGGGCGGGGGGCGAGAGAGGAATCTGGGTCCACGTCGGGGACAGTTGTTGGAGGCACATAGCGCCTCATCTCCCAGTCCGTGCTGCTGTTCCTACTCTTTCCTCTTTCTCTTCCCCTGAGCACTGATGCTCTGTTTTTGAACTTGCCTTTGGCAGACGAGTGTAATTACAGCGGCAGCTGTTTGTGAAGCGCCCACCCTCAGCCACATGTTCATCTTCTGTAACCCTCACGACACGGTCCACCTTCCCAGGTGAGAAGCTGGAGGTGCCGAGAAGTTCGGTAACTTTCCGAAAGCCACGTGGCTAGAATGCAAGGCAGATGCCCCAGACCCCACCCCAGAGCCAGGCCCCCAGTCATTCTACTTCCGGCCTAGGAAAAGGACTTTGATGTCCGTCTGTTTTCATTAGACACAGCCTGAGGGGCAAAGTGCCATCTCTGCGTGTGGGTTGGGGCCCTGGCTGGAACCCCCACACTGCTGGGGGACCAGACTCCTCTCACCCGGATCTGGTCCTTTCCCCAGTGGGGCTTGTCCAAGGAATGACCTTGGTGGTGTTTGAGGCATCTCAGGTGTGGAGACTGGGGACGGGGACCTGCTCATGAGCTCCCTCCAGGGGGTTGTGCAGTTTCTGCTCAGGTGGCCTCATTCTATCCTAGACCCACCTCTCTCATCCCCCTGCCCACTGCCCTCAGCCCATCTGGCAGTGACCTTGTGACCTGTGTGTGTGTGAAGCGGGGAAGAACAGCCTATCCTAGGGGAGGGGCTCAGCCTGAAGAGTTGGTCCTTGACGCCTGTGGTGGGGGTGAAGGTGGGAAGCTTCTTCCTTCTGGCTCCTCTACAAGCCTCCACCCTACCCCACACACCCAACCTCCCATAGGTCTGATTATAATGCTTTGACATGCAAACTGGGCAACCTTGAGCCATAACTCAACTATCTCCCTTACCTAACTTTCACACATCAAGACAGTAGTCCCTCTGCCCCAAAACATCCAGGGCCAGATCCTGGACCACTAGAAACCACCTCTAGCCCAGAGCTTGCCAAAATGATTCAAACTAGCCAGCCCTAAACCGTTTACCCTGGCCTGCCTTGCCTTTCCTGCAAAGCCACAGGCAGGCTTGTGCCCTCGTGGCTCTGCATGGTGCCTGTGCCTCCTGCTTCTAGAGAACTGTAAGAACTTCTTGCTTCTTGACAGCATTTCCATGTCTGTGTGGCTTACTGCACCCGCTTAAAACAAATCCCGGACACACTGAAGAAAAGAGAACTGTTGCTCAGCCTTTGGCTCGAAGCCTGAGGCACAGCCGCTCCTAGCACCTCTATCTAGCCTCCGGTCCTGTCCCCAGCCGCACACTCCTTGAGGTCTCGCATCAACAAGCTCTGTCCCACCAGAAGGACTGCGGTGCACCCCCATCTCCAGGACACCCGAGCCCTCCCACGCCTCCTGAATTTAGTGTTTGACCCTCCCTAGGCCTGGAAATCTTTTCCTTCACCTCTCTGCCTGGCAAACGCTTGCTCAGCCTTAGAGACTCACCTCCTCCGTGAAGCCTGCCATAGTCACCCTCCTCCATGTTCAAGCCCAGGGCCGCCACCCACCACTGTCCTCCTCTCCCTCCCTCTCTCCTCCTCGGGCAGCTGGCAGGGAGCTCCCCAAAGTGGGGAGGCTTCTCCCTCTGCTCCTCCACCCTGCCTTGACAGACGGAATTTCAGGCACCATGACTGGCACTTGGTCAGGATTTCTCCTAATGTCCTGGAATCACAGACGCAAGTGGCTGCTTGCTGACAGCTGTCCCTCCGACCCCAGATGCACAAGATCACTGACTGACTATCCAGCTCAGGGTTACAGATGCCCACTCTGCCTTCCCAAAGCTGCAGTGGGGTAAGAATGGACTCCAAGGAAAGACATTTGGCTACATTTAAAAGAAAGCAAAAAAAGAACAAGGTGATATTTAAGCTCGTTTTTTGCCAGAGTCCTAGTCTCTTGACTAAACCTCCTCCCAAGTTCAATACTTTGTGCAATCTTATGGCTCAGGGAGAAACACCACCGTGAGCGGCTGGGGTGTGTGTGGAAGGGCAGTAGGGAGGGAGCGGGGTTCTGGAAAATTAAAAAGAAAGTAGCAATGGGTGGAGCTGGCTTGTCATGTTTCTGTGACAGAGCAGCGATTGCAGTTGACAGATGGGCCCAGGCAGGCAGCCAAGGGTGTCAGCACTGCCTGGGGCTCCCTGCATGGCCTGGGGCAAGTCCCTTAGCCTCCTGGGCCTCAGGTTCCACGCTGGACTAAGGACCCTTCCGGCCCCGAGGGTCTGTTTCTATGCACCAGCTTTGGCCTCTCTGCGTGTTAAGTCCAGTGTCCAGTGTTCTCTCGAGGGGCGCGGACCACTGGTGTTGGGGAAATTCTCAAAGGCAGCTGCTGCTCAGAGGGTGAGTGACACTCCCTGGAGAGAAGCCAGGTCAGGGCTTGCGAAACATGATCCCTTGCCCGAGCCCCTTTCCTTCCCCTACTCCCCACCTCGAAAGGCTCCCTCTCCTGCCTCTGTGGCCCTGAAAAGCTGGTGGCTTTTCTGTCACCAGCACAGCATGTTATGAATTTAAGACAACACTTACAAATCAGAAGATTTCACCTAAAGTTCAGAATTTCCAGCTCCTCTTAAGAGGTACAAAGACCCGACTCTGTTGGCACCGAATTGTGGCCACCTCTTTGGGTTGGTCCCCTTTGCCACAGTCCCCACCACTCCCTTTTGTCCCAGGCCCCCATGAACTTCAGTCATTCTGTTACCTATCGGGCCTTTACAGGCAGTTTGTGATATCCTCCTCCACACATAATGCACACACACGTGTATATATATGCACACACACACACACACACACACGAGCGAGCGCACGCAGACGTACATACATGAGGGCTCGGGGATGGGCTGTTCCCACAGAGATGCCAGCCACAGGCTATCCATGGAAGTAGGCTGTGGCCCTTCTCTGCTTAGAGCCGTCAGTGGCTCCCAACTGCCCACAGTGGGAAGAGCAAACTCCTTAGCATGGCTCACAACCTCTCCAGCTCCCACCTCTTGCCACTCAATACCGAGCGATCTGAAGACTCTCAAACCTACACTCTCCACGTTCAGGCCTTTGCACGTGCTCTGCCCTCTGCCCTCTGCCCAGGACCTCCTCGTCTCCCCTGCTTTTCACTTCATGCCTACGCCTTCTCAGGATCCAGCGCCAAAGTCCTTTTCTCAGGAAGTCTCTTCTGAAGTCCCCAGGCGAGGCCAGACACGGCTCCACCGAGATTCCGAATGGAGGGGCCACTCCACTGGGGCCATACTTGTCCCTTGTCCTCTCTGACTCTGTAGACCTGTCTGCACAGACGACCATGCAGCAGCTGAATCCAGCCGGTGGTCAGGCGGAAGATGGAGTAGGCAGCAGGAAAGGGACCTAATTAGATTTGACATATAGAAAAAGTATCCGCAGCAGCATAGAGACTGAGCGGCTGGGGGTCAAGGGAAGAGGAGGGCCAGGCAGGAAGCTCATCGTAGGAGTTTGGTGATGGGCTGTGGCGGCTGGGACCCAGACTATGACACGTGGCGTCAGAGGTCAGTTATCCAGGACAAGGCAGAGAGTAACATCCCTGACTCCATCGTAAGCCCCACTCATCTGGACTCTGCCCCTCGGGACAGGACACGCCCCCCTCTTCCTCCTCCTCCAGCCCCCCTTCCTCCCTGCCCGTGGCCGTGGCCGTGGCCGAGGAGACGCAGGGCCCGGCATCGCTACCTGGCTGGTCCGGGTGATGCAGCGGCGGATGAGGTCCCTGATGTTGCTGTGCTTGTCCGTCTGGAAGTACACGGTGGCACTGGACTTCTCCTTCAGGTAGGGCTTCTCGGCCGAGGCCCAGGTGTGCAGCAGGGTGGGCTCGCTGCCCTCCGAGGCCACGGGGAAGTAGGTGCCTGACTGTAGGGAGTAGGAGTCGAGTCCCTTGGCTCCTGCCTCGGCCCCTCCGGGGGTCTCCGGAGCACAGGGGGGCTCTTTGGCTTGGGCCTGGATGTACTGGGCTTCCACTGAGGACAAGAAGTCCACCTCGCCCTCCTGGCTAAGCGCCTGCCAGTAGGCCTCAGGCCCCCCATCCAAGAGGGCATCTGTGGCCAGCCGGGCACTCTCGTTGTCGCTGAAGTCAGTCCTGGCTGGCCGGACCCATCGGCTCTTGACATCTTCCAGGCGTTTTCGGATCTTGCCCATGTGCCTTGACAGGCTCATGCTGCCCTGCCCCTGAGTTAGGGAGGGGAGCCCGGCACTTGAGCTGTTCTGGACGTCAGGGGCAATCAGGCCACGCCACCGAGGAGTGGAGGTCTCGGCCGGCACCCCGGGACTACCTGCCACCGCGCACGCACGCTCCAAGGAAGCGATTTCCCACTGTCCCGAGCAAAGCGTCACAGAAATCACCAACCGCAGCTAGGGCTCGGCCTGAGCAAAGCTTCACAAGATCGTCAGCTACAGCTGGGGCTTGGCTTTTCTCCGAGTGACACCTGCCCTGCCCACAGTAGGGCTGGCTCAACCACGCCTCAGCACACTCAGCCCCGGGACATTTCCTCTCCTCCCAGCAGCAGCGGAGGTGAGCCAGTTTCCCGCTCGCTGGTTGCACAATTCCCCCAGAGACCCCCAGGCCTTCGTTGCAAAGCAGAGAGTCTCCCAGCACCATCGCCCCCGGGCCTCGGGTCTCCTCCTGTGCTCCCCGGTGAAGCACCGATTGCTTCAAAGACCTGAATTTCCCAGCGAGGTCAGATGGTGCCCGTGAGATCTGTCTTCCCACCTGTGTGAGCAGGGAAGCTGGACGCAGGCCAGGGGCTCCTCCTCTCTCCGGTAACACCCCAAGTTCCTGGTCCTCCCTGTCCTCTGAAAAGGCTCTCCTCTCCTCTCCTCTCCTCTCTCTCTCTCTCCCTTGTTGTGATTGTGGTCGTGTTTGAACAGAGCCCCCAGAGAGGTTCCAGGTCTGTGCCCATGGACCTTTGGGATCCATCTGTCTCGCTGCTGGAGGGGCAGGTGGCAGCACGAGTGTTTGAAGTATAAGAACTCGCAAGGGAGAAGCCACATTTCCTTTCCAGGTCGGGTCATGGTCAATTCCATGCCAGTGGAATGCAATATCTAGAGTCCTGACTGTCTTTGATTGGGTTCTGCCAGAAACAGACTGTGAGACTAGGATTCGAGTAGAGTTGTCCGTCAGTATCCATGCGGGACCGGTTCCAGGACCCCGGCGGACACCAGAATCTGTGGATGCTCAAGTTCCTTATGTAAAATAGCACAGTATTAGCAGATATCCTACGCACATCCTCTCGTGTAGTTTAAATCATCTCTAGATTACTTATAACACCCGATACAATGTAAATGCTGTGTAAATAGTTGTTCTACTGTATCGTTTAGGGAATAATGAGGAGAAAAAAGCTGTTCATGTTCAGTACAGACACATTGCATCCATCATAGCCCTAACTACATGGTATGTGCCGGCAACAGCACAACTTTTTTTTTTTTTAATTTCTATCCAAGATGGGTTGAATTCATGGGCACAGAACCCACGGGTGCAGAACCTGCCAGTACAGGTAGCTAATTGGGAGGTGATCCCGAGAAGCACGGATAGGGGAGGGGAGCCCCTGTTGGGCCTGTTAACGAGCCATTGCGTTTCATCGAGTGGGAGTGGGAGGTATGTGCACCTGTGGGAACATCTGGTGTTCAGTCCTGCCTGGACCTCTGGGAGGTGGTCCTCAAATTATCCCCACCTCAAATGTGAGAAGGCTGTGGGACTTACCTACCAACCTCCATTTGCTGTTTGTGGGGGCTGGTCCCAGCCACACCTGCCCTATGTGCTCGCCAAGCACAGCCCGAGGCCAGAGAAAGCCTCCGGGCAGAGGCGCAGGTGCGCGCAGTGAGCGAGACCGTGGGAGCGGCGAGGGCCGGCAGGATAAACGCAGGGCCCTGCCAACATCTGCGAAGAGAACGATGCCAGGACCCTAGGACCATGTGGCCTTCCAACAGCTAGTACCGCAGGGGCCAGATGTCTCTCTGTGGCAGATCTACCCTTCAGAAAGGAAAATTGCTAGAAGCATCTGCGACCCCACTGGAGCTGTGGCCCAGGTGGCTCAGGCCAGTAGCAGAGTAGTATTAAGTACAGTCCAAAGAAGAGAAAAGCAATTTAAAAGGAATTTCTTCTCCTCTTTCGAAGACAGCAAAGGAATCCAACTGGTGACCTTGGGTAACCCTCCTTTATCTCATCTTATCACTCCCCACAATCCCTGGCACCTCAAAGAGGACAGACCTAATAAACTCGCCCTATTGCTCCTTGGCACCATTCCAGGATTCTAGTTGAATTCTTTAGAATACACAGCAAATCTGCCCTGTGCGTGCTGTCGCACCTAATCCCCTATTCCTGCCCTCCCGGCAGACATTACAAGTCGATCACAGAACTCTTTCCTCCAGCTGGGAACGATCCCTCACTGTTCCTTATCGGGTTCAAAGAGAAGTCCTCACTTGGAAGGAATCTTGGATGCACTGCAAGTGGTTTAGTTTACTGATGAGTAAACAGTAGCCCGGAAAGAAGAAGCGACTGTCCTCGAAGTCACCAAGCTGGCCAGTGATTGTCATCTCCCCTCCTCCGCAGCCCCAGCCCTGTGAAATGTTATCATTCTCGCTGGGCCCACTGGCTGAAATAATAAATTCTCCCCCCTGGGATGGCACTTCTGGACCAGGCTGGCTGGCTGGCTGGCTGTTGAGCCACACCTTCTCAGAGAGAGAAATCTTTATCGAAGAGCCCTCAGTGACAGGTGCTGTGGGTGACAGAGACTTGCCTTCTTCCTTCCTGTGGCCTGAAGTTTCTCCTGCTCGTGAGGATACCGGACAAGGCAAAGAGTGAGAAGCAGGGCTCTTATGAGTAACTGAGTGGTGTTGGGGGCTTTCTGAGAATTCCATTGATCTAGGGCAGCGTTCTCACCTGTGAGAGCTTTCGTCATCTAGCAATGTCTGGAGACATTTTTGGGTGTCACAGCTGGGGCACTTGGTGCTACTGGCATCCAGAGGGGATAAGCCAGGATGCCGCTACACCCTATCATGCACAGGACAGCGCCACAATATAGAACGGCTGGCCCCGAATGTCAGTACTGTGGAGGCCGAGGAACCCTGCTCTACAGCACAGACTCCAGTGGATGGCTGGCCCTCCCCCATGCGGGAGGCGGGACCCCTCGTCTGTTCAGCCCCCCCCACCAATGGGAAGGCCTTGTCTCCTCTACCTTCACAACTTAGTCAAGTCTTTCTCCACATTCAAGGTCTCTCTTGCTCCGCGCCTCTGTGAGGGAGGCTTTTTAACGATCCCCGAGCCGCTGTGCCTGCTCCTCCCTTGGAGGCGCAGGGAGAACTCGCCTTGGTCAGTCTTATCCTGTTTGCGGGCACGCTGCCTCGTCTCCTCGCTCTGCCTTTGATTCATTGAGTGGTAAAGGCAAAAAGCTTCCGTGACTTTGGAATCGGGCACAACCGCGTTCAGCTTGTGCCTAGGATTATATGTGACCTTGAGTAGGTAACTTCACTGAGCTTCACTTTTCTGTTCCTATAATAACAGCTAATGTTTATGGAACGTGTGCTGAGGCCCAGGCGCTCTTCTAAGTGCCTTTCATGTGTTCACTCATCGGATCGTCATAACAGCCCTGTGAGTCAGTGCTATTGCCAATTCTGTCTCCTGGATGAAGGAAATTGAAGCACAGAGGTTACCTAACTAACTGACCCCAGGTCACCTGGCAGGGAAGTGGCAGTGCCAGGAGCTGCATGTGGGTGGTCTGATCCCAGAAGCAACCTGGTAACCACAGGGCCTTCTGCCTCCTTCATGGGACAAACCTCAAAGGGCGTGAGATCTGAAGAAGAAGCCTTGTGTCGTAAGTGGTCCGACCTTGCCCCGTTCCTGCTTCACTCTTTGGCCTAAGACGGCGCCAATATTTTTTTCTGAGCTTTTTACAGAGTTGTCGTAGTTGAAATTTTACAACCGAGGCGCCTGTCAGACGCCACCCTAATCAAGTGATCGGTGTGGTCCTCGTCAACAATGGGACAAACCGAAAGCTTGAGCCACCTGATAGGACACAATGAGAAGAACACAGCATCGCTTCTGCGATGTTCTTGCCAAAGATACATAACCTGAATTTTGACTGTTTTTTTTTCTTAAGTGTTTTTTAGGTGACCCCACAAGAGGAGACAATTGGGCAAATCCAGACGATGAGACACCCTACTAGACAAATGGGAGGGACATGGGGGAG